CATCCACGTGGGTGGCCTTGTACGCAAGAGGTTCTGAACAGGGGGAGTTGTCAGGAAGAAGATTAAAAATGAATTAAATTTTTCTTGTTTCTGTTTTTCGCTTTGGCGCTCTGATATCATGTGACACTATATATAGATAGATAGATATATATATATATTGTCACACTGTGAATCGGATCGCAAAGGCGGAAAAAGACAAAACAAAAAAAGGAAAGAAGTAAGGAAGGAAAGCTACGCCTGTTCATCACCTCTTACGTACAAGGCCAGCCCCGTGGATGACAGATTGAGCGCTGGCTGCCCCCATCTCCGTGTGTCACAAGGACCCACTTGCACGCAGCCAAAAGGCAAAGATGTAAAGAAAAGGAGGAAACCAAACCTCACAGAGGCAAGAGAAACGGAAAGGGATCCAGTCAAAGAAAGCACAAGGGAAGCGGAAGGCCTATCATTCAAACAAAGCAAATGACACATCCCACAGATAAACCAATTGCCACTGTCACGACAAAGTTCAACATATTTTTTCTTTTTTTAAGTTTTTTCTTTTTCCTTATTTTCTTTTTTCTTTTTCCTTATGCAAGGAATATGAGAGTGAGCGATATACATAAAACCAAGTTGCGAAATCACACAGCTGAGTAAGTAGTAGTATCCCAAGTAGAGAGTACAAATGCACCGAGAAAACCATCCATAAAGAGCAATACAATGAAGTATTGGGCCAATGTCCAAGCCCGTAGGCCACACCAACACAGTATCCAGAGTCGCTCTCTCTGTCTGGCGCACAGCGCCCAGCCTACTCTACCACACTATCCTACTCTACAGCTGGTTCACACAACAGGATCACTTCGGCTCACGAAGACCAATGTGCATGACTGTCAACACCATCGGCGACCTCTCTTCATGTACCAGGTACATATCTCGCCACCCTCAATCAGATCTTGATTACCCCACACAGCGCCTCTCTCCCTGAAGACCACCCGATCATCCGCTGTACCCCCTGGCGCCTAGCAGCCCAGCTATGGCCGCCTGTGCCCCGCTGCCCTGCAGCGCCCCTCTCACCACCTAGCGCTCCGTCAGCGCCCCTGGCATTAGCGCAGCATCAAGCAGAAGCGCAGCAGCACTTCCGCATTGCCAGCGCTGGCCAGCCTCCTGGCCTCGGCTGCCTCACTTCCTTTATGGAAGTGTCAGCCTGCTTGGTGCTGCGAGTGGCCTCGCTGGAAGCTTCCAGTAGCTTCCGGTTGGGCCTCAGACCCTGTGCCCAGGTCCGAGACTTACATTTGAGGGCCTGGGCCCTTTTCAGTCGGGCACGGCCTGAGTCTTCCAGACTTGGGCTGTTTGCGGCATCTGTGGAGGGTCCCCGGGCAGGTGCATTCGCACTACTGCTTTTGCAAAGGCCGAAGGCCTGCTTTCCAATGTATCGGCCCTGCTTAGTGTACGTGTGCCCAGGCGCAACTGTCAAGGCCTGGGCCAACTGTATGCCGCAGCATTGTGAGGCTCATGAGTCTTCCCAACCAACTGGCGTGCTGCGAGACCCTGAATACCCCATATGAAAATGTCAAATTCTGCCTTTGACGAATATTCAGGCCCGCCTTCACTTAGGGCGGGCACTTGGCTTGCTGGGGCCTTAGCCCAGAACAATGTGATGTCTGATAGGGCCACTTGCGGGCTCGTTCCTCACACTTATTTTCTTCTTTCTTTTTTCTTTTTTCTTTTCTTCAGCAATTTGTTCTTCTTTTTTCTGTCTTTTTTGTCTTTTCTTGTCTTTTTTTCTTTCTTTTCCTTTTTTTCCTTCTTTCCTTTTCCTTTTTTCCTTTTTTTCTTTCTTCTTCATTCACCTCCGTATCTGTTGGTAGTGTCGAAAGCTTTATGCAATGACTTGCTGGTTCCAGGTTGCCTGTAGCCTATCTCTGACGAGGCTGTACTCTAGGTAGGGACAGATTCGCAATTTTGTTGAGCTGAGGACTAACCGAGAGACCTGCCTGTATGGAAAATTTGTGAGGGACATATCTGTAAATATAGAAATATGGGCCCCGCACTAACTCGATTTTCCTACAGCTACCTAAACAGCGAATAGCGGACCCGGGTTACCCCTAGGACAGACACGCCCTATGGGCCTATGCTGATAGACGGTCCTATAGCCTATAGCCGGGTAGGGAGAGGCCCGAGAGGCCGAAACAGAAACGGTACCGGTCGGTCAGTCAGTTCGGTCTAGGTCGGTCTAGGCTAGTAGTAGAGGATAGATAGGATGGGGACATCGGTCCTGGGCTTTTGGCAGTTGACACTTCGTGGTGGAAGTTGCTGCGCACACGGTATCAGTTCGAGGTTGCTGATTCCTGTGGTGGAGACGGCGGACATAGCCAGACCTTCGGAGCGCTGACCGGACTGGGGTCACGCTGTCCGCTCTGACTCTCTGGGAGTCAAAGCGGTCTGGGCTATCAGAGGTCTGATGTGTTGGAGCACGTGGTGCACTGGTGACCCTCCTTAGGAGTAGGGTCCCAGTGGCGATGCAGCCATAGCTCCATCTTCTCAGAGGTTATCATCGTTTGGACGTCATCTTCATCAGGGACTGTTGGCGTTGAGCTTCTTCTTCATCATCTGGATGGCGATTGGCCCTGGGATCCTGTTTCACTTTGGCACAGGCCACTGAGTTGGATGTCAGGGTGGCCCTGGGTGTTACCTGGGGTTTCGAAGCTATTTTTAGTTGTTCCAGGTGTTGGGGTTGAGGCGCTACCCCTCTGAGGGTAGCGCAACAGGGTTCTGGGGTCATTCAGTGGAAACGATGCTCTGAGTTTAATCAACAGTTGCAATACTGTGTTTGAGTTGTCATCTCTTCATTGGTTTCTGGCTGTGATCACTCGGTTGTCTTCTATGAATGATTGTTGGGATCTGTGTGGAGAGAACTCACAGTTTGTGTGTTTTGTCACTTCGCTCCTCTCAGTCTTCCGCTGCGTTTCTTTCTGTTGGGCGGTGTGATACTCCACTACCTCTCCCCTTCCTTCTGTGCATGCATGGGCGTGTATGGGAGTTCCTGTGAGTGAGTGTTGATAAAATTTCAACAGACAATCATGTTCATAACAGTTGGTATCCGAGCAGATCGGACCCAGACAGTGGCGAGATGATGGACTGAGGCAGCCATCACTATCTGAGAGCTTCTGACGTCAGGTTTCATGAAGAAATCGCATCTTCAGGATTGCGCTCAGTAGAGTGTTGGTGAAGAGTGTGTGGCGGCTGGTATGACACAGAGATTGGTGGCGATTCAGTGCTCAGTGGCCTGGGAGGCACTGAGGGGCTATTTTTAGCCCAGGCGTTGACTCTACTGGTGGCGGGATACCTGGGGGTATGTCGAGTTTCAGATTCTAGGCCGGATCCAGTGAATCTGACTAGTGGGGGTAAATCGCCATATCAAGAACTACAGTATCACCAAGTTTCAGGAGATTTGGAACGTGGGAGCACCAGGTACAGTGAACTGAAGAAACTGGCGAGATGGCAGCCGTAGCCAGTTCAGCTTCTTCTTCTAGTGTTTTGACCTGAAGTAAGTGTGTTCCTTACTCAAGTCTCTGTAGCGAGTCTGATAGTTGTGACTAGACTGGGAAAATTGGAATTGTATGTCTGTAGACAGTGAAACTTGAAAATCGCACTGCCTGACAACCATAGCCATTTCCCCTACCTATCTACTTTGACTTCTACTGACTCTGTTTGACCTTCTTTCTGTCTCAAATTGCATCTCTGACTGTATTACAGTATTACGATTCAGTATACATTGTGAATTGAGTAGTTCAGGGTCTGTATGTCAGTGAAAATGAAATTCTGAAAGTTGCGCTGCCATAGCCAGTGCTTGGGGCAACTAGAGTTTGTCATATCTTAGATTCTGTCCCTCAAAATTTCAGTCTGTCAGTCACCCTGAAATCGCAATTTAGTATTGTTTGAGTGTTTGAAAGCGCTATACTGGATTTGATGTTTTGTGTCAGGTACAATGATATCTATACTTCGCCTCACCCATAGTGGGGCATACAGGTTCCTACACTGCCAGTGTCAGTAGTAGGAGTCTAAAAATAGCTTGATCAGTCATCCGCTGCATCTTGATTGACTACTGGGTTCTCTTGATTGCTACTGACTCTCTGCGCTATTCCATCCTGTCTACTTACAGTCCAAGGTTGCATCCTGTCTATCTACTGACAATGATTCTGGGGTTATTACACTCAGAAGAGGGTTTTGGGCTGTGAATGAAAAATCGCAAATCTGATTTTGTCTGGGATTGCCCTAAACTGACCCAAAACAGCCCTCAGCGGCCTACAGAGGCTGAGCGCTCTTTTGCCCTATACACCACGTCTCTTCTCATCAGGTGGCAGTGATTACATCAGTGTATGTGTGTGTAATCTTAATCTCTGCTGACCTTATATTTGTCTGTCTGTATTTATTTGACTGTTTGAGTGGTTCATCATGGTTGATGCTGAGACAAAGACTGAGGGAGGATAAACTTCCACTAACCCTCCTTAGGTTCCTCTCTCTCCTCTGGAGCAGGCTCTGCTTGAGGCCGAGCAAGCTCGCCTCAAGGCAGAGGCCCAGATCCAGCGTTTGAAAAAGATGATGGAAGAAGCTCAGCAGGCTAGTAAGAATGAAGAGAGAAGGAGACAGCTACGCAAGGATGTGGAGAAGGTTGTCACGAGTGGTACATCCAGTCAATACAGTAAGGATACTGCTGAATTGGTGCTCTTAACAGACACCATCAACAGGTCCTACTTTTCTAACTGGGACCAGAGGATACTCGCCCCTCGAGACCCAAGGTTCTGCCATCGACCGCAAGGTTGACAAGCTGGCAGCAAGCCTTGAGTCCCTGACGACGAGTTGTAAACAACATTCTGCAGCATTTGCAACTACTTGTCCCTTCTCCCAAACCTCCTCAACCTTCCCCAGCGTCCTCTACACCATCTCACAGTCGACCATCTTCACCTGCTGGTTCTCATGTGTCCACTACCCCTGCCGCCTCTTGTACATCTGATCAGCGGCAGCCCAAACTGACACCACCTCCTATGTATTCTAGGGAAGACCCCAAGGTGGATGTCTCAGATTGGGTTACCGCCATGCAGGCATACCTGGGCAGCTTTGTATGTCCAGAGGTGACAAAGTTAGGGACTATTATGGGTTGTCTGGAGAGGACTGCACTGAAACGGTGCACATCCTCTGCAGCGAAACAGAATTTGCCCATGGACAAATGGGCACAGCAGCTGAAGGTGGAGAAGTTGCTGCAGGCCCTGCGACACCGGTTTGCTAACAGGGAGCAGGCCGGAAAAGCAGCAGATAAGATAATGTTGTTGGGCTCGCGCAGATTCGAGGGTTACCTGTCCAAGCTCTACAGTATGTTTGAGAGCTTGACTACTCCCGGTCTGGAGATGAGTGAGTCTGACCAGCTCACTCACTTCCTGCACGCAGCGCCTCCAGATTACTCCATTGCTCTTTACTCTCAGGGCCACAAGGACTGGAGGTCCTTTGGCAAAGCGGCCCTGGACCTGGAGTCTCGGCTCAAGGTTCAGGAACCTTCAGAAGGAAGGAGGAGACCCTCTTCCAGGGGACAGCGCAGGAAGGGTGCTCTATTGGCTGCTGATGCAGGTTCTGATTCTGATGCATCTTAGCGTGGCAGTCCTCCATCTGAGACTGCATCCGGATCAGCAGTTGAGCCAGTCGTTCTTGCCCTGGCTGAGAACCTTGCTGCCATGTTCAAGGGAAAGTTCAATAAGGACAGCAGCAGCAGGGGTTCAGCCAGTCAGAAGGAGAAAGGGAAGGGACGTGCCACTTCCCCTCAGGCCCAGAGACCTAATCTACCACGAGACGTCCATTGGCCAGTCAACGTCATGGATCCTTCCACCCTTCCCTGGAGAGCGCTCAGGATCCAGGAGGGGCAGTGGCAGAGGAGGAAGGACCGTGAGTTTTTTTTTTCGCTGCGAGGGGGACCACTTCCTGAAGGACTGTCCCCATATGCCTCGCAGGCCTGGTTCTAGTCCAAAAAACTAGACCAGCAGAGGGAAGTGGAGTAAGCAGCTCCCTCCACTTATGCTGAATCAGATTCTGATGGATCTGATTTTGCATCTACCCTCACTGACTCTGTTGGAGTTGCTGCGTCAGGATCCTTCACTTACGTGCACCCTGACCTGGATGAGACGTGGCAGGAAGATGATATTCAGACTTTTGCTGATCTTTTCCTGTCGAAAAGAAGAAGCACAAATCAGACCTCATCTTGCTGCGACCCTCCATCCTGGGAGCCAGGATCATAGGCCTGTTAGATTGCGAGGCTACAAGGAACTTCATCTCTCCCAAGGTTGTCAGTAAGTTGCATCTGGATGTGAGATTGGTGAAGTTACAGCAGCCACTGGAAGTCCGAATTGGGGACTCCTCCACAGTCCGGATTACCTCTGTTGTCAAGAACCTAAAGGTGATCTTTGACAAGCAGGAGAAGGTCAGGCAGCGCCTGAACTTCTATGTGTTTCAATGTGCCTTTTGATCTTGTGTTCTCCATGCAGTGGCTTGAGGCCACTAACCCTAGGATCGACTGGCAAATCCCTAGGGTAGAGCTCCCTGACTGTAGAGGGGACTATCAGCCTTGTGTCCTGGCTGATGAGTACCACCGAGTCAGGAGTTGCTATTGTATGAGGGCACACGAGTTCTTTCAGCTCTCTCGCCAAACTGCACACGCAAGTCTGTTTGTTGCATATGTGAAACAGACTGGTGTGGATGTTGCTCCTTGTCCCTCACCAATTCAACAGGTTTTGGACCGGTATCCAGACCTGATGCAGGAGCCTACTGGACTGGTCCATAGGCAGACCCAACACAGGATTGAACTCCTGCCAGGTACGGTCCTTCCCAAGGGTCGTATCTACAGGATGTCCCCTGCTGAACTCGATGAGCTCAGGAGACAGCTTGAGACCCTGACCAACAAGGGCTGGATCAGACCCAGCACGTCTAATTTGGGGCTCCAATTCTCTTTGTTCCAAAGGGAAATGGAGAGTTCAGAATGTGTGTGGACTACAGGGGTCTCAACAAAATCACTAGGAAGTCTACAGAGCCCCTTCCTAGGATTGATGATCTGTTGGACATGGTGCAGGGCTGCACAATTTTCAGCAAGATCGATCTCAAATCTCGCTACCACCAGATTGAGATGGTTGAAGGCGATGTCCACCTCAAGACTAGATACGACACTTATGAGTACCTGGTCATGCCCTTCGGTCTTTGCAATGCCCCTGGCACGTTCCAGACATAGATGCATCGCATACTCAAGCCTTACCTGGACAAATTTGTAGTTGTATACCTGGATGATATCCTGGTATTCAGTTGATCTGTCGAGGAGCATCTGCAGCATTTGGCTCTAGTTCTCCAAGCACTACATGAGGCCCAGTATAAGATCAACATGGAAAAGTCCTTTAGAGTAACTTCTGTGACTTATTTGGGACATGTAATCTTCGGGGAAGGGCTAGATCCTGAGGCAACAAAGGTTGTTGCAATTCAGGACTGGCCACATCCCACTACAGTTCGTGATGTCCGGTCATTCTTGGGCCTTGCATCATACTACAGGAAGTTTGTCAAGAACTTCTCTGCTATTGCTGCACCCCTGACTGATCTTACAAAGAAAGACACCCACTTTCTTTGGACATCAGACTGTCAACAGGCTTTCACACGCCTCAAGGAGGCCTTGATGCGTGCACCTGTTCTGAAATTCCCTGACCCTACCTTGCCCTTCGTATTAACTACTGATGCTAGCCAGTATGGGGTTGGGGCAGTACTTCAGCAGGATGGTGGGCATGGTCTGCAGCCAGTTGAGTACATGAGTAAGAAGATAAAAGTCAAGAAGTTGCAGGATTCCACGTACGAGAAAGAGCTATATGCTCTAGTGTCAGCGCTAAAGCATTGGAAACATTTCCTCATGGGCAGGCACTTCCAGATCTATTCAGATCATTCCACCTTGCAGTGGATGAAGACCCAAGGGGAACTGAATGACAAGCTTGCGCGCTATATTCAGTTCATTGATCTCTTTGACTGTGAACTGAAGCACAAGAAGGGTTGCTACAATCGTGTAGCAGACGCCCTTTCTCGTAGGCTTGACGCTCTCTGCATGATCTCTTCTACTCATACCTTTGGGGAGAGTACCCATCATACCATTGCCCAGCTATTGCCACAGGACCCGACTTTCGTCCCGGTCGTTAGGAATCTGCAGACTGATCTTGCCTCTGAACCAGGATATATTATGGTCTCAGGTCTGCTGTACACTTGCAGCAGGGGAGAGGAGCTTCTGTGTATCCCTCAAGACCGCCAGCTGAGAACACTCATGATGTCTGAGTGTCATGATGCTCGCGGCCACTTTGGGGCCTTGAAGTCGTTGCCTGCCATGTCGCAGCGGTTCTTCTGGCCAGAGATGAAGAAAGACATGTTGCACTATGTTGAAACCTGCGAGTTGTGCCAAAGGAATAAGGTCGTCCGCCGACCTCCCCTTGGCCTGCTACAGCCACTTCCCATCCCTGATGCACCTGCACTGTCAGTATCCATTGATTTTACTGATCTGGGGAGGACTACTCCTCGTGGTATGCGTCACGTCATGGTATGTGTTGACAGGTTTTCTAAGTATGCAGAGTTTATTCCTCTGCCAAAGGAAGCCAGAGTCCCGGCCACGCAGGCCGCCTTTGCTGACAGGTGGGTCACTCATCATGGACCACCCACCTCCATTGTCAGTGATAGAGATCCGCAATTCTGCAGCAATGAATGGCAGTCCTACTGCAAGGACTAGCTTCATTCCTGACTGAATATGACATATGGACGTCATCCTGAGGCCAATGGGCAGGCTGAAGTGATGAACCAGATTCTTTTTGAGTTGCTGCGTCATGTGATCAGCCCTGGTCAGCAAGATTGGGATCTCCATCTAGGACGGGCACAGCTAGTGTACAACACGTCTGTACACTCCTCCACAGGGTTCACCCCTTATCGATTGCACTTGGGACGTGAGCCACGGCAACCTCTCGATGACATCATCGATAAGGCTACTCCCAGACTGACTCCTGGAACTGCAGAGTTCACCAGACAATACCAGAGGGATATCGAACGAGCCAGAGTTAACTTGCTCAAAGCCCAAAAGGCTATGATCCAGCAAGCTAACAAGCATCGTCGACCATCCCCCATTCGCGCTGGTGACTGGGTCTGGGTACTCAGTTCTGAGCTATCGCGGGAGGAGGACATTTCACCTAAGTTGTTGCCGTGTTACATGGGTCCATGGCAGGTTTTAGATATAGTGGGGGTTGACCCTTTTGGGCCATCCTATCACGTAGATGTTCCACTGCATCTACAAACCTACCTTGTTTTCCATGCATCCAAGCTGCTGCCTTTTACGCCAGTTGATGCATTTCATGACAGGCCTCCTCAATTTAGTCCCCCGAGCCCTGGGAAAGGATATGAGGTGGAGAAAGTTGAGGATGAGTATGATACAGGCCCGAATAAGGAGTACCTTGTAAAGTTTCTCTACCAGCCCCATACTGAGGATCGTTGGTTTACTCGCAAGGAACTTCTGAAAACAGCCAAATCTGTTATCCTCAAATATAAGGCTGCGCAGAAGGGAGAGCCCCTTCGACGCTCTGCACGCCTACGCCCCTAGCTCGGAGGTCCTCGCTTCGGGGGAGGGTAGGTCTGCAATGACTTGCTGGTTCCAGGTTGCCTGTAGCCTATCTCTGACGAGGCTGTACTCTAGGTAGGGACAAATTCGTAATTTTGTTGGGTTGAGGACTAACTGAGAGACCTGCCTGTATGGAAAATTCATGAGGGACATATCTCTGTAAATATAGAAATATGGGCCCCGTACTAACTCGATTTTCCTACAGCTACCTAAACAGCGAACAGCGGACCCGGGCTACCCCTAGGACAGACACGCCCTATGGGCCTATGCTGATAGACGGTCCTATAGCCTATAGCCGGGTAGGGAGAGGCCCGAGAGGCCAAAACAGAAACGGTACCGGTCGGTCAGTCAATCCGGTCTAGGTCGGTCTAGGCTAGTAGTAGCGGATAGATAGGATGGGGACATCGGTCCTGGGCTTTTGGCAGTTGACACTTCATGGTGGAAGTTGTTGCGCACACGGTATCAGTTTGTGGTTGCTGATTCCTGTGGTGAAGACTGTGGACATAGCCAGACCTTCGGAGCGCTGACCGGACTGGGGTCACGCTGTCCGCTCTGACTCCCTGGGAGTCAAAGCGGTCTGGGCTATCAGAGGTCTGACGTGTTGGAGCACGTGGTACACTGCTGACCCTCCTCGGGAGTAGGGTCCCAGTGGCGATGCAGCCATAGCTGCATCTTCGCAGAGGTTATCATCGTTTGGACTTCATCTTCATCAGGGACTGTTGGCGCTGAGCTTCTTCAACATCATCTGGATGGCGATTGGCCCTGGGAGCCTGTTGCACTTTGGCGCAGGCCACTGAGTTGGATGTCAGGGTGGCGTTGGGTGTTACCTAGGGTTTCGGTGCTATTTTTAGTTGTTCAGGGTGTTGGGGTTGAGGCGCTACCCCTCTGAGGGTAGCGCAACAGGGTTCTGGGGTCATTTAGTGGAAACGATGCTCTGAGTTTAATCAACAGTTGCAATACGGTGTTTGAGTTGTCATCTCTTCGTTGGTTTCTGGTTGTGATCACTCGGTTGTCTTCTATGAATGATTGTTGGG